GGGTCCTGCCCAAGTCTTGGTGGAAGCTCAGTGACCGTCAAAGTCCTGATACAAGGGCAACCAAGGAAACTCATTGATCATCCAAAACTAGATATATGAGAGTTTCTGAGCAAGAGAGAGCGCCACCTTGACAAAGGCTCAGTGATGTCTCACAAAGGGGAAGTTACAGAAGGATACTTACAGGATTTTGAGAGTTTGTCATGGGGTGGGTTTAAGGTAAAAGTTTGTAAGGTCTAGGCAGAAGCTAGTCATATTTTGTAAAATAAGTGAGTTGCTGAAATAGTCTTATCTTTACAGCATATGAGCCCATGTAGACTTAACCCGGGTTAAGCCCAAGGCTCAATTTGTCCAGTCTTATCATGGAGCATATAGGTCTGAACAAGCTTCTGTTAAAACAATTTGACTTAAGATAGCTTGAGTAATATGTCATGGTTTGATACAGTTTATCTTGCAAGTTGATGTTTCTGTTTTATTTCTCAGAAGGAAGGAATTTATAAGCAAGATAGTGAATTATAAGGCCTTCACAGAAACTCAGACATAGTGAAAGCCTGAAATTGGGGGATGGGCAGTATTGATAAGAGAGTGAATGAAAACATTGGGTCAAGGAGGATATTGATTAGGATGTTCTTAATGATTGAGATATTTGGAAAGATAGCGGGCTGCAAAGGAGAAAAAAAGAATCAAAGTTAAATGTTTGAAAGCTGAGAAGACAGTGTTACCATTGACAATAACAGAAACAGGAATCAAAATTTAACATGTAACTAGGAAAGCAAGGTATGGAGACAATGGATTATGTTTTATTTACTTTTTCTTGTTCATTCTAGAATGTAAAGCTCTTTTGAATTAAAGTTTAGTTGACATATGATATTATATTAGTTTCAGGTGTACGACAGTGATTTGACATTTACATGCCTTATAGACTGATAATCATGAGAAGTAACCACCTGTCACCATAAAAGTTACTGCGATATTATTGACTGTATTCCCTGTGCTGTACTTTACATCTTCATGACGTATTTGTGTTACAAGTTTGTACTTCTTAATCCCCTTCACCTTTTTGCCAATTGTTCCACCTCCCAATCCTCAGCAACCATTAATTTGTTCTCTGTATCTGTCTATGAGTCTGTTTGTTTTGTTTGTTCATTTGTTTAGTTTTTTTAGAGTCCACATATAAGTGAAATAATACAGTGTTTGTTTCTCTTTGACTTACTTCACTTAGCATAATACCCTTTAGGTCCATCCATGTTGTCGCAAATGGCAAGGTTTTATTCTTTTTTAAGAATGAGTAATATTCCTGTGTGTGTGTGTGTGTGTGTGTGTGTGTGTGTGTGTGTGTGTGTAACTTCCTGTATATCCATTTATCTATTGATGGACACCTAGGCTGCTTCCATATCATGGCTATTGTAAATAATGTCATGATGAACACATGGGTACATGTATCTTTTTCAAATTACTGCTTTGTTTTCTTTGAATAAGTGCCCAGAGTAGAATTTCTGGGTTCGTCTTTGTCTCTTCTTTTAGCTTTTGTTTTAAAGTCTATTTTGTCTGGTAAAAATATTGCTATCTCAGCTTTCATTTCCATTTTTATGTAATATCTTTTTCTTTTTTAATTTTTGTTATTTTTAATTGTTGTTCAAGCACAGTTTTCTGTCTTTTATTCCCATATGTAATATCTTTTTCCATCCTTTTATTTTCAGTCTCTGCATGTCTTTTGATCTGAAGTGAGTCTCATGTAGGCAGCATATGTAAGGGTCTTGTTATTTTACCCATTCAGCCACCCTATGTCTTTTGAATGGAGCACTTCGTCCATTTACATTTAAAGTGATTATTGATAGGTCTTCCGTTGTGGTTGGGCCACAGCTGCTCTGAACGCACTGTCAGGAGAGGCTGGTGTTGCCCCACTGCCTGTGAAGCCTGGCTGCACCCGTTGCAGGCACAGCAGTGTGGAGGTCAGGCCTTCAGTGTGGCTGGCCACAAGGCTCAGCCTCAGCTTGCCACAGACACTCTGTTGTGTACTGGTGCTGACTGAAGCCACCAACCAGGTGTGGCAGGTCAGGAACCACTTTGGGTCCTGTGTGGGTCCTCAGGGAAACACCAAGGTAAGGGGAACTGTGTTAGCAAAGTTAATGGAAAGCGTCAGAAATGGCACCTGCCAGCATCAGACCAGGTAGATGGAAGGAGAGTAAAAGAGGGAAGTATATAGTGCCCACCAGCACTTCAGACTCTGGACAAAGTTCCAACAGATCCCTATCCCTCCAGCAGATGCCCTAAAATTAGTCAGTGTGTCACCTTTACATATGACCCAGGTGCTTTTCAAAGTGCTGCCTCTGTGCTGGGACTTGGAAAGAGTGCAACCTTAGTTTCCTGCAGCCCTTTGGCTCTCCCAGACCTAACCCCTGCTGGTTTTCAAAGCCTGATGTTATAGGGACTCATCTTCCTGGTACAGGAACCCCAGGCTGGGATTCTGACCCCTCGCTCTTCAGGGACGGACCTCTGCTGTTGTGATACCCCTCCCAATTGCGAGTCACTGCACAGGGAGTAGGGGGTGGGGTGGGTCTAACTAGACTGAGTCTCTGCCCCTCCTACCCGTCTCAGTGTGGCTTTTTTTTTTTTTTTAAATATCCATCGTTGTAGAAAATCTTTTCTGCTGGTCTTCAGGTAGTTCTCAGAGGTAGTAACTATTATATAGTTATAGTGTTGGTGTCAATGAGAGAAAGAGAGCTCAGGATCTCCCTAGTCTACCATCCTGAACCCAAAGCCAGGATCCTTGCTCTTCAAAGCCAATTTAACTTGTCTGTGAAATATTGTTCCTTGTGGCTGGTGCACTGTCCCTACAACTACTTTGTATTTTATTTCTTTTGTATTTTAACTGTAATAAGTTTCAGACATCATTCCAGAGATGACCAGAAGTATAATACCAGAAATTAAGATTCAGTTTTAAAGGGGAATATTGTAACTTTTCTCCATTGTAGCATATTCAGCCTTATAATTTTCCATTCAATTCCTTGTGCTTTCTTTGAAAATACTTAAAATACACTATAAATTCCATCCCCTCATTTAACTAGCTATTATTTCATTATGTCAATTTTACAGACAACTGATTTTCCAGTGATCTCTAATTGTTCTGTTATTTCTGGAATTGTTCACAGCAAAATAGCAGAGAGGAGCAGGAATGGCAAAGAAAACACACTAATAACAGAGGAATCTTACTTAGTTGGTGGTCTGTACCATGTTGTGGGAAAAAATTATATAAGCACACAGTTTTCTATTTGAAACAAGTTATTTCATTAATGGAGTTAAAGAGCTGCAAGTCCTGGCCTTTATAAAATTATAATGACTTCATTAACAGTGTGTTAATTGAGATCAAAATTAATCTATATTAGCACTGCAATAACAATTTTTCAAGCTCAGCCAGTGACTAATAATGAAAGTGGGTTGCAATGTCACATGGTATCTGGTTAAGTTAAATTAGTGCAGTATATGAAGAAAAGACTCCCAGGTGACACTAAGTAAGATAATCAGTGTTTTTCTCGAGCTATTACAAGGGGACAGTTTGTTGCAAAGGTACTACTTTTCCAACGTAAAGCCAAAAGTCTGGCCACATGAGTTGAAAGGAAGAATGAAGGAGCTAGAGGTTATTGTTTGGGAGAAGTGAGATATAGAGTCCTGTGATTGGCTTTATGAACAGCCTGAACATCTAAATGTGCAGACTTACATCAACCTCCTTAGGTAATATTCCAGATTTTTCTCACTTCAAATGTGTACAGTTTTTTCATTGTATATTTCTGAAACCAAAGTGCATCTTAAAATTAATATATAAAACTGAAGTTGTGTATTGTGTGTGTGCCTGCATGTATGTAAGGACTCCCTACTCTTAAGTATTTTATAATCGAATAAAGCTAAATCCGCATTCATATTAGAAACTAATTTAATCTATATGAGCATCTAGGAATAACAATATGAGAACAATTAGGGGGGAAAAAGGTGCTCTTTCAGTATCATATCAGAAAGAAAAGAGAGAATATCATCTGTGATATATTTACCTATATTAATGGAGTATTCATTATCTCAGTTAATCCTAACAACTACTATAGTAAGGTAGTTATTATTACTATACAGTGGTAGGCAAAAGTAGGTTTACAATGTGAGTACGTGAGACAATTTATTATTGTATTATTTATTAATTATTGTACTATTTATTTGTATTATTACTATAAACCTACTTTTGTTCACCCCTATGTATTATAAATGAGGAAATTAAAGCATAACATGTTTGCACAACTTGAACTTGAACCTTATCAGAATCCTCCTTCTACTCCACTACAGCTCTCTCACTGGAATGTAGAAGAAGCTTCTTATATTTTCCTTATAGACTTATGACATTAGATATTAATCTCTAAAGGGTGATTCAATTCAGAGTCATGGCACTGTGTAAATAAGTATTATTTGTTCAAGTTTGCTAATAAAGAGATAAGACATCTGTCTCTTTCTCCTTCAAATAAGCTTAACTTCTTAGGTATTATTTATTCCACTTCAGAAAAGAGATCAGAAGCTTGAAAGAAAAGATAAATGACCGTTCTCTTCAAACTCAAGACTATCACGTCACACAGTCTCTACCTCAAATGGTCTCAATGAAAGACAAATTGCAAAATACTATTGGCAGTTAAAGTCAAAGTTCTTTTATTTAGTTTGCCCTAGTAAGCAGCTCCTGGGAAGACCAGCATCTCCAGAGCACTAATATTGAATAAGCCAGAGCTGGGATGATATCTGTCCTTCTGTTTAGTCACCATTTAAATTTTTGCAACACCATTTTTTCATTTTCCTAGACGTTCAATATTTATTCAAGATCCTTTGAGCATATATCTTCTACAGGCCAAATACTGCCATAGATGCTAGACAAACTAACCTCTGTTTACTAGTATTTTTCCACTAACAATGGGCAACATTATCCTGAGAGAATAATTTGTGGTGGGCTTTTTTTTTTTTTTTTGGCTTTGTAGCTGCTAAATCCTGAAGATGACCTCTTACCAGGAAAGATTCGAGACAGCAACCGTTCAACCCTCTTAGCCACAATTCAGGAACATGGTTACCCCACAATCAACTTGGGAATTGTAGGAGACAAGTAAGTACTGGATTTATTTTTAAGTTGTTCTTGTACAAATATGGATTTTGGGAGTACTAACTAGGTGGGATTTTTGCTAAAGAGACCAAAATTAAATACCATAATTTTCACTTATCTTCATTCTTCAGAAGCCAGAGAATTGTGGAACTGCTGTGTCTGTTAGGGACAGACGTTTTCCTAGAATGCCTATTACAAAAAGAGAAATATTTTGCTATCCTATTAGTATATTAAGTTTACAGGAATCTTTTTTTGATAGTGTTGTCTTTATCCTAGTGGAACTAATGATGATAGTGTTTTATTCCTATTCATACTTTTACTGTTTCAAGAAGACAGGGAAGACATGGGTGAGAAGAGTAAGAGAGAATGTCAAAATTAGCATTAACTGATTCTTTGAACTTTAAGTACAATTGCTTTCTAGGGCTTTTATATTTACTTTTGTATCCTTATGTAATCTGAGTTTCTCCAGGCTTCACCCATTTAGAAGTTCAAAGGGAAGCACATTGACTATAATGTCCATCTCTAACAGCATATTTACTAAATTAACTCATTCCTCCACTAAATTCCCCAAGTGTCTCTGTGAATCTCCAGCTATGTCTTACATGTGATCAAAAGCACATCTGCTCTTTCTGAGTGTCCCACCACCATGCAACACTGCTACTCAGCCATCTTTCACCAGGCACTATTTCCAGGTCTCTAGAGGTATGCCTGCTTTCAGTAACTCTAAAATATCAGCCAGGTGGAGACAAAGCTAGAAGACAAATCTGTGTGGTGGATACCACAATGTATCTGTCACCCACAATCGCCCTTCTCTCTCATTACCACCTTGTCACTGAGTAAGGCTCATTATACCTTGATCCTTCATCCCTTGAGATGAGTGCTTTCTCAGGGATCAAATGGGCTTCTAAAAAGGCCCTGCTCCACCACTTCACAACGCACGCTCTCACACCTCTAAACCCCAGCCTGGGCTCAGACTGGGCACAGCACATCACATCTCCTCAGTAACCTGAGAAGCAGTAGGTTATCATCTCACCTTTTAAAGATCTCTTCTTTCCTCCTGATTTTATTTTTCTTTGAGGGCTGTGAGACATATTTTCAAATGTTATTCTTTTCAGATTCTTCATGACTTATCTTTGCTGGATGTCCATAGAGAAGCCCATAGCTAAGCACCGGCCCCCAGAGAACTCATGCTGGTGAAGCCAGTCTCAGGGATTACCTAATGTGGCCCTGATCCACGCTCGCCAGCCCAGTAGAGAGAAACCACTGAAATAAAGGGGGCGGGGTGGGTAAGGGTAGGTATTTGAATTTGCACCTGACTAGTAACCTCTCCTTCCATATACACTTCAAACACCTAAAACTTATCCTGACACAGGTACATCTTTTAAAAAGGCAAAACTTAACTTCTGAGGAGAGATAGGACAACACGAAGAGTTTCAAAAACACAAAACAGGCCTGAAACTGTAGAACAAACTCACCCGGTTATTTAGGTTTTGTTTCCTATCTCCCACTGGCTCCAGCCCTCCCTCCAAGAGCATTAATGAGCTCTAAGAAATAGTATAAGGCAAAGGGGGTTTGGGGAGTGTGTGTCATTTTCATCTTAATCTGTTCTGGACTATAATTCTGTCCATTTTCTTTTATTTTGGTACTCTTGTATACAAAAAAAAGTTACTTGATATACTTTATATGCTGCCATTACCTTACTGTAAAAGCCAAAACACCACTGAAATGTTCATATATTTATCTAATATTTGGAGGCTAATATTTAATTGTCTGGAGCCCACACTGTTGGTTTGTGGTAGACATTTCCTAATAATGTTTGTATTATATATAACTCCAAATGCATCTTGAAAACAGCAGATGAAGAACAACAGAACTATAAGCAATTCTGAGGATATACAAATCTCCAGTGTATATCCTTTTCTAAGATTAAAATACTTTCATAAAATAGAACTTTTTAAAAAAATATACGATTGATACAAATCTAGACCTCCTCAGTCTAGAACGCTGTATTGAAAGGGCCCAAAGGAAATGGTTGGGAATGCAGAGGTGGAATGTGGGAGGAAAGACTTTGTAACTGTTCTAATGGAAATCTGTTCTGGGAGTTTAGCAAAAGAAACCAGGACAATTAATCTGCAGCCTGTTGATATTCTGTGAAGGTTGCCTCCCTCTGCATTCTTTTCTTTTCTATGTAACCATTTACTGAAGAAAGTAAACGTTGTTATACAGATCTCTACCTGAACTCTCCAAGGCAACAAGAAGGGTCATGACAGAAACTGCCCTGTGTTTAAAGCAGAGAAAGAAATAGCTCAAGAATGTCAGCCAGGACACAACCCTTACTCAGCTATGACAGATAAGAGGAGGGAGTAAGAGCTCTGTTCTTGTATTTAAAAACAGATTTGAGTCTGGTTTTGAAATTCTATTGATACGTGATTCTACTTCTCAACTCTTATTCTTATCACATACCCAATTTTAACAATCAATATTGAAATTGTAGAGTAAGACTGTGTAACATATTTGGATTGAATTGGGCTTAATTTTGCCTTTGCTTATTGCACATTTTATTTTTAAAAGAAGGTACAGTGAAGATTATGGGATGGATGCTTCAAATACCTGAAAGTTAACAGCTATATTTTAATAGCATTTGTATTTATTCAAGTATTATGTGTATGTTAAAATACATTCCTTGAGGTATATTTTGTCACATTGTATCAAACAATACCGTTGGGGTTCCCACTGTTTTTCTCTAAAAAGACAAATTTTGAAACCCAAGTATGTTCAGTGAATTTGCTTAGGATTATACAAGGTAGTAGCAGAGGTGTGAATGGAATCAAGTTTTCTTGAGATTAATAATCACAATTCCCTGCTAATAATAAACACAAATGTGTCCGAAGAGAAGCATCACTATGGGAGAGTGGTCTGTTTTACAAAAACGAAGCTTTAGCTAGAACATGAAGGATGAATAGGATTTACATAGTTAGAAGAAGAAAGTGTGTTGCGTAGGAAACATGGAAACAACAAAAAGAGAAAAGTAGAAATAAACAGTCACTCCAGTCAGACCAGACTAATTAGGAAGAGATTCAGGTAAGGAAGATAATGGAGGTAAATTTAATAGAAACTTTGAAAGACTTTGCATTCCAGGCAAAACTGCTGTTTAGTTAAATTTGGAGCCCTTTAAAGCAGAGCTGACATAACAAATCATTATTTTAGAAAGATAATTTGGCCAAGGTGTATCACATGGGCTAAAATTAGAGGTGAACTAGAAATAAGAACAATACAGTTTGTTTATTCATTGTTCAGTCAGTCAGGATGGATTGATTGTGTACCCATACAAATCACCTGGAGATCCTATTAAAAATAATTATTCTTATTCAGCAAATCAGGGGTGGGCTCAGACTTTACATTTCTAACAAGTTCCCAAGGATACCAAGCTGCTGTTCTATGAATCAGAAAGTAAGTATGATGTAGTAAATTCCACCATGCATCTATTAGAAATTTTAAGGCAATTGAAGATACAAAGCTGAAACAGACATAGATTTTGCCCTTGAAATTACATGTATTAGAAGTGTACTATAAATTATATCCTAGTAAAATAATAAAAGTGTTTTTAGAATGTTCTAAAACTCAAATTTGGAAGTAGAGTTAAAAAGAAAGATTAAATCACCCCTGGCTGGTATGGCTCAGTGGATTGAGCACCAGCCTGCAAACCAAAGGGTCACTGGTTTGATTCCCTATCAGGGCACATGCCTGGGTTGCAGGCTAGGTCCCCAGATGGGGGATGTGCAAGAGGCAATGGATTGATATTTCTCCCTTCTCCTCTCTCTGAAAATGAATAAACAAAATCATTAAAAAAAGGGAAAAAAAGATTAAATTAAAATACATTGTGAAGTTATAAAAGTCATTTGATACATAGAAGAGTATCAATGTTAATGAACCTTCATCTGGATTATAAAGCTTTGTTTAAATTGTGTGTGTCTGTGAACACAAATAAAATGCTTGCAGACCCCAGCTGTAGTTCTCTCAACACAACTAGACATTTCTCTCTAGCAATATACCATTTCCACTTCTTGCTTCATTAGTAGTTTATGCTTTCTTCTTCTTTTTTTAAGATTCTATTTATTTATTCCTGGAGAGTGGAAGGGAGGGAGACAGAGAGGGAGAGAAACATCAGTGTGTGGCTGCCTCTCACATGGCCCCCACTGGGGACCTGGCCCACAACCCAGACATGTACCCTGACTGGAAATCAAACTGGCGACCTTTTGGTTCACTGTCCACACTCAATCCACTGAGCTACACCAGCCAGGGCCCTTTCTTGGTTTTCATAGTTCCTCTTCCTATGCTCATTCCCTAAATGTAGGTGACAACATGGCTCACTCTTGGCTTTCTGTCCTTCTAATTTCTTATGCTAATGGCTCACAAATCTTATCTCAGTCTTCAGTTCCATGCCTAGATTCACCTGCTTACTAGATACATCTTTAAGTTCAATATCCATTGCAAACTCACCATATTCAAAACTAAATTCATTATCCCCACCTTTTTCAATGCCCTCCCCACTAGCATCTTGTTCCATTTCCTATAGTTCTTCTATTTCAGTGACTGCTGCCACCATCCACACAGTCACCCAACCCAAAAGAAGCCTGAATGGAAGTTATTATAGCTCCTCTCTCATATTCACACCTATATTTAAGGCCTAGAGATTTTTCCCTCCTCAGTCTTCTCTACATTCCAATCTCTTCATCCTTACCATCCTGGGTTAGTTTGGGGCCCCATTTATTTTTGTCCAGACATATGCGACTAGCCTCATAACTGGTCTCCCTGACTCAAGTTTTGTTGCCTGCTAACCACCATCTATTCTGCTGCCGATATGATCTTTCTAAAGTGCAAAGTATATGCCTGTGGCAGAATCGAGGTTTTATTATATACGAGTAGGCATACTGTAATAATTCAACAAACTTTTATACATAGTTATGCTATGTCAGGCATTGTGCCAATCTTTGTTACTACGG